AATTGCATCAAAGTTAGTATTCCTACTCTGAGCCATAACTTAGTAAGATATACATTCAGACACAATTTAACCTTTTTAAATGTAAACTGACTCTTCCAGAGGATATATATGTAGCAAAGAGCTTCATTACCAGTAAGCCATATTAGAAAGAGTCATATTAGCAATTAGCCAAATTAGCAAAGACTCATGTTCGCAATTAACCACACTAGCATAAAGCAACATTAGCGATTAGCCACAAATCGGTAACATTGCTTCCACTGCAAGATTGTCCAAATGACGTAATGTGGATTGATTTAAATTATAATAAATCCTGATGGAAGTTCGGCTTGTTTTGAAAAATGAATATACTTTTTGTCAGTTAACAAAACTTATTAAGATATGAATTCAGACACAATTCAACCTTTTTAAATGTAGTTTGACTGACTCTTCCAGAGGGTATAATTATCTCCTTTGTCTTTTATGAATAAGGTTCCATAAATCAGCTTCAAATCATAGAAAATACCCTCCTGAAATTGTCGGAAGCTGCCTGGGAATCATTACACTTTTTAAGTTTTCTTCAGCATCAAAGCCACCTTGTGACAGCAATCTACACATCCATGGATAAACTACAAACTGCCAACATCTAATCCAATTTTAAAAAATGTAGGCAAAAAACCTGAGTCCATGGCAACATTATACTTCCTGTTTGAAACCTGAGTTAGATGGGTTTGTTGTGTCTCCTGGTTGACATGACACAGGGGCTGTACCTGAAGGTAGACGTCCAGCCTCTTCTGAGTGAGGTTCATAGTCTGCAGCAGCTTCTCGTCCTGGCTGGCAGACTGGACGCTCTGTTCCTTCACCACAGCGTTCATCTCTTTCTTGTACTTATCTCTGACCGCCTGGAACCAGTGCAGAGAGTCAAACTCCAGGTACTGGTCCAGCAGCTTCAGGATGTACGCCACGCCTGAGAGCGAGAAATAAAGTGATTAAAGAGAGGAAGTGACCAGCCACAACGCAGCACAAGGCATGTTGCATAGCACACGCTCATCCCTTAAGCCCACTCACCCATAGCAAAGCCATCGTCTGTGAAAGCAGCTCCAGTTTTGTTCTTCTTGTTGAGTTTCTCTTTGCAGCTGATGGAGTGCTCCACAAAATTCACCGTCTATGGGAGGGAGTTGTTGTTTCATTTACTAAAAGTGCATTATAGTTAAAACACTGAATAGAGTATTCAACAAAAGTTGCATGGCATGTTGTAGCAAAGAGCTTCATTACCATTAAGCCATATTAGGAAAGAGTCATATTAGCAATTAGCCAAATTAGCAAAGTGTCATGTTCGCAATTAACCACATTAGCACAAAAAGCAACATTAGCGATTAGCCACAAATCGGTAACATTGCTTCCACTGCAAGATTGTCCAAATTACCTAATGTGGATAGATTTAAATTATAATAAATTCTGACGGAAGTTCTGCTTGTTTTTAAAAATGTATTTATTTTTTATATATATCAGTTATCAATAACTAAACTTGAATTAAGACAAGAGGAGGAGGAACGCTAAATAAAGGCTGCAAACACATTAGAAAGTCTTGTCACTGACCAGAGGCGGCACGATCATGTAGAAGTTCCTCAGGTGCATATTCTTGGCGCTGCGAAACTCAGGTGCAAACACCGCCACCAGCATCTTGAAGTACTCCGTCCCTTCGGCAGAGTTGCTGGTCAGATCTCCCAAAACTGAATCTAGGACACTAGAAGAAGAAGAAGACACAATATTTACCTGTGCCTACCCCTTGTGTGGGAGGCATACCTTTACATTTTTGTTACAACTGTGGCGCCCTCTGCAGGCAGAGGAGTGGAAATGCACTGAAAATATCTAGACAATGTTTTGACACATCTAAAGCACAGCCAAATGTGTGCTTGACAGAAATATTTAACCAAAAAATGAATTACACAATTGAACGCTCATTGGAGCAACATTTTTGATTCTCATTATCTTCATAAAATAGAAATAGGGTAATGCTAGACTAATGACATTTGAATTATAATGTGCATTTAAGCGCAGGTTTTCAAATGTCGTACCTAGCAGCTTTCTGGGTCTCCTCTGACAGCCCCTCCTCCTTCACCAGCTCCTCAAAGTTCACTATGTCCTCCAGGTCAGGGACAAACCTGGGGAGACACCAAACATGCTAGTGAGATATGAAGGAAAACCCTTACATGAGTTTAAATCAGATATACCTAGTATTTATGCAAACATTAATGTACAGAGTTAATCACATTTATTTCAGAGACTTTCCCGAAACATAGTCAACCATGGACCTTCATATTAACTTTGCCAGAGCGCACAAATATGTAGAAGCAGCACTTGAGACAGCTCTTTTTTTACCTGATGGCACTGCTGCAACAGTGAAGGCCTCCAGAGCGGATCATTCGCACATAGCCCATAGCGTTACCTAAAGAAAAACAGAGTATAAGTAAATTGGTGTTGGTTTACATTGATCTGTACCTGCATTTGATTATCTAAGATTATCTACCAAGGACAGATCAAAATGTATGTCTCACCAATCTGGCTGATGAGCTGTCTGAACTGGTCCAGGTAGCTCTGCCCGTCCGGAGTGATGCCCAGCTTCCTGATCCCGCGGTTAAACTTCTCCGCTCGCTCAAATGGATACTGCAATGGAAAACTATAGATGAAACAAGAGCTGGTGGAAGGGAGCAACGTTATTGTTTCTGGCAATGTGATAAAGAAATCACTTTTTAAAACTTGAAGAGGATTAGAGGGCCAATTGCTTCCAAGAGCAGACAATCTAGAAAGGCCCCTGTTCCTGAGGCTGGCTTTTTCTGAAAGTCTGTGTCTGTTTATATGAAAACTTAATAAGCTCATTCGGCAGCTTCATTTCATCTGAACCTCTGGACTTCCGGCTGGGGCTTTACAACCATCCGACCAAACAAAAACACAACATTTTCACAAGAGTTCCACCGTGCAAAATTCACCATCTGTCCATTGTGCTTTGTTTGGGTGACTGATGTGGTGAAGAGGCGCTGAGCCCCTTCCTCACCTTCTGATCCGACTGGTCCTTAGTTTCTCTGAAGAAGCGGATGTCCTTAATGAGTCTGGATTTGATGTGCTCGTCGTACATAAACTGACTGAAGATGTAGAACTTCTTCCGCAGGAACTGGTAGGTGAAGTTGACCTGATGGAAGAAGAGAGGCAACAGGTGATGATCTGAGGGACACACAGACGGACTAAGACACACACTCCTGCCTTCCCTCTTAACTCACCGTGGTGTTCATGATGCCTGTGCCGTGGGTCCGGATGGAGTTGGCGATGTGACGGATGTTGATGGTGTTCAAGTGCTTGTTGTTACTGGCTTTCTCTATGAAGATCTGTTGGGATGAAAACACTGTAAACCAGGGGTGTCAAACTCAATTTCATCGCGGGCCACATTAGCATTATGGTTGCACTCAAAGGGCTGGTTGTAATTTCAAGACTATATAAATATACGTATATAAATATATAATATATATAAAATAATGTATGATATTACATTATTGCCTCTGCTTTGGGTTATTATCGGATAGGGCAGGGGTCGGCGAGCCGCATGCGGCTCTTTAAGCCCTCTGCTCTGGCTCCCTTGAGCTTAGACAAAAATAAGAAGGAAATAAAATAAAAGTATTTGTAGGACTATTTGTATTTTTGTTGCACGGTTGAAAATGTTTCGTGT